AGACAGCTCCGAAAAAACTGTTCTTATTAGGGACATTGACTGTACTAACTGACAAAAATCTGTCAAAGAGAAGAAAAAAGAAGCAAATAGCATGAATAGTATGTATGACATGATGTAGGACAGAAAAGAATAATTTTTCGGAAGTCAGAGACTACGCTGCTTACAATGATTATGATCACAAATGCTGGTAACATGGAGCTCACATAAAAATATGGTTGAAACTAAAAAAAAAATAAGACTATGAATAAGAAAGAGGAATTCAGACAAGTGAACGTAATAATTAATGAGTTAAGTCGGAAAAACACATATTTTCAAAACAAATTCATTTTGGGATCTCCTCAGAAGAAAAAAGAAATGAGATTCCTGTATATCCTAGGAAGATTATTTTTATAGACTGTGCTTTAAAGCATACAAATTAGACTTGTTAGAATGGACAATTCTAAACTCATTTGATTTTCTTTTGTGCCATTCAGAAAGAAAATGTTGAAATTCCATGGAAGCTATCATTATAAGCTTATATAGCAGGAGTCATATCTATGCAGTTCGTTCGTGTGTGTGATGGTAATAATGGTAAACAGAGAAGAAAAATTATGATTCTGTTTCCTAAGCGAATCAAAAGAAATACCTTACATTATTAGTACTTTGTTACCCCATCAACATACGCAAAAGTCGAAAGCTACACTGTTGAGAGTCAAATTATGGAAAGAGACGTAGCATAATATAATGCCTCGTGTTTTTTTAGTTCTTCTACAACTTCGATGCGCCGAAAGTAAATAACATCAAGAAAGCGAGCATATTTTTGTTTCATTGGTGAATACTTGATGTTACTTTGTATTAATTTCTTTTAAAAATAGTCTTATAAGCAAAAAAACTCCATATTTGATCACTAGTTGGTAACGTGGAAACAGTTCTGTATAGGCTACCCAATTGATTAATATTGGAGAGATAAATATTTCTTCCTGAAGACAGATTCTTCTTTGCTTATCTCGGTCGCTGAATTGCGATTCGAACACAAGAAAATCTATTTCGTCAGGCATGTTCAGCATTAGGGTGGGATTTCATCTTTATTTCACTTTATTAAAGTAAAGTAAAGTAATGTAGATCTACTTTATCCGAAAAGTAAAGTAAAATCGATCTAACTTTATCGAACAAGCAAGATATAGTAAAATACGAAAAAGTAAAGCATGTAGTTGATGGTTATTCATTTATTAGTTTATTATCATACATTAATCACACTGTAATACATCAAAAGTTGCGTTGAATTATGGATCAGAGGCCCCAAAAAGTTTAATCCTGATTTTATTACTTTGGAAGTCAGTATCGAATTCTGAGTATTCTTCAGAATTCTGTATTCCACATGATCACAACTCAATTTTTGATACTTGAGATCCTCCCCAGGTATTGAAAAAAATTTTCAGGCTTTCCAATCACGAATCTTTATAACTAGGGTATGGGATGTAAAAAGTCGTGGGGTGCGAATGCCGATGTGAATGTGGACTGTGGGTGTAGGATATTGGTATGAATGTCGACTGTGGGTGTGAGTAGCGGTGTTTTATCCAAGGTTTTTTCTCCAGAGGAGCGATTTGTCATTTCAGGAGAGTGAAAAATTTTTTTCGGGAGGGCAAGCATGTAGTTCGTCCCGCGATGATCGTGAGCCTCGGGGCAGCTAACTCGATTTTCGTGGGAGCACCGCTCCCTTAGGCACTTCCTGGATAAAACACTGGTGAGTAGGGTTGTAGGTATGGATGTTCTTCTTTCTACCACTCACCCTTACTCTTCACGCTAACGTCCACCGACATCTACCTGCATCCCTACGCTAGGGATGTACCAAGACCGAGAGGCTCGGTTTCGGTTGGTCTCTGTCTCGGTTAGTCTCGGTACATCCCTACTCCACGCCTTACCAACACCTGCATATCCACACCTATAATTAGTTCAAGAGTACTTATCCCAACGGTTTCAAATAAGCTCACATAGAAGTTTTACTCACTTGACAAGAGTTAACTGCAGGAGGGTCACAAGTGAAGAGGCTCAACTGTCCAAAGCTCAAATATTAGAAGGCTCAGACGTTCAAAGTCCAAATGTGTAGGCTCAACTGTCGAGGCTGAAATGTTGAAGGCTCAACTGTCGAGGCTGAAATGTTGAAGGCTCAACTGTCCATGTAACTTTCGAAGAGTGCTCAGATAATAAGAAAGATCGGAAGCACTCCTTAACTCCATTAAAAACTAGCTTCTGTCCGGAAATTCTACTAAAATACGGTTCTATCTCGTCGAAAACAAGTCCATTTTTTTGCATAATTTGTTTCTTGATGAGAAAGTATAAGAAAACATTGAATGTTCGATTTTTTTCTACCGGTAACTGGCAAATATTGTCTAAATTGGATGATATTATCTCTCATACCTTTTAGCCTTACAAAACTAGAGTATCTACAGGTGCAATGGTCGAATTGCTTCGCCAAACGTGCAACTGAATGTGCTCTTTCTGATGACATCATTTTAGACTTGAAATTTTGAATTTGTAAAAACACTTTTGGCTCAAAACTCTATCCTTTAGATCCAGTTTGCCTCTTGCTTGGCTAATGCTCTGTAGGCCTCGAATAGGAAAATCTCATTTGACTTTAGACAACTATCATAACTAGAATTAAAACACAGAACTAAGTCAGCATGTGCGAGTTAGAGATGTCAACTCAGTTGAATTGGTACAGGTACACACTGCTTTGGTGTTTCCATGGGTCAGCCATAACCCAAACTAGTTGCTCGAGTAGATCATTTATATAATGCCACCTCTGACATACCTATAAAAAGTTTCAGGTAAATTGCGTGAGTTAACGCCAAAGTCATCCTTGTGCTAACCTGTTAAATACTCCAAATCTCATAAAAATTAGTTACGAAAAGGTTTTTGCAACGGGTGTGTGGTTAGAATAGGAACTTTTGGTCAAGTCATATCCATTTGAACTTTTATGAAACGAATTTGATGGTATTTTCATGAAATTGTTAGAAAAAAAAACTAGATCTTCATAATGCTAGGGAGTGCTTTGGATCTTTCATATTATCTCAGTACTTTCTAAAAATAAATGAGATATTTGTAATCTATAGACTTGATGCTATTGAATTATAAAGACTTGTGATTGGAAAGCCAGAAAATTTTTTTTCAATACCTGATGAGGATCTCAAGTATCAAAAGTTAAGTTATTATCATGTGGAATACGGAATTATGAAGAATATTCAGAATTCGATGCTGACTTCCAAAGTAATAAAATCAGGTTTAAACTTTTTGGGGCCTTCGATTCATAACTCGACGCATCTTTTGATGTATTACAGTGTGATTAATGTATGATAATAAACTAACAAATGAATAACCATCAACTACATGCTTTACTTTTTCTTATTTTACTGTAGCTTGCTTGTTCGATAAAGTTAGAGATATTTTACTTTACTTTATCAAGTAAAGATAAAGTGTCACACCTACTGAGCATTTAAAATTTAATTCAATGTGCTCTTTGAACGGTAAGGAAATTGTCAGGATACAGGTATGGCAGTTCGATATACAGCATGAAAATCTGAATAGAAAGTAGGAAATAGTTGCTGGGAGTCGATCTTTCATTGTTGATTTTTAGTTTCCAATAGGAATGGTACAAACTTCGATCAGCAATTGTTTAACTGCGATTTTCGTTACAAACAGAAATGTCACGAAAAGATTATGAACTTTTCGTTCAAATGAATGATCATGGTCAAGCTTGATCTTTCTTGTAGATATTTCATAGTGAAAATCTGTGATTTTCTTTTTTGTGTTGCCTAAATGATCTTGTTTGAAAATCTTAATGAACATATTTTGTTATTTTTGTACGACTAGAATTTGCGAACTCTTATTATGATTTCAATGATCGTCACAGTCAACTTGAAACATGAGATACATTTGAGTAGATTAAAAAAAAACTAAAAAATTTATTTTCTAGAACTTTTAGATGCTCACAGGCATCAATAATTTACTTTTTTTTATTTTGAAAATGGAACTTCAAGTATTTTTGATAGCTTTCTGTGAGTCAATTTCGATGAATACCAATGAAAAGGCAGAATCTGGCATGGACGACATGTCTGATCTATAAATAAAGTTG